AGTAGGTTCCTTAATCTTAAGAAGTCTTCGCTGGTCAGTGGCTTGGTAAAAATATCAGCAACTTGATCTTGTGACTTCACGTATTCAACTTCCACATCTTTTCTTGCAACACACTCCCTTATATAGTGGTAGTGAATATCAATGTGCTTGCTTCGATCATGGAATACTGGATTCTTCGCTAAGGCAATGGCTGACTTGTTGTCGACACAAACCTTGGTAGGCTCTTCTTGTATCAAACCAATCTCCTTCAATAGATTTCTAAGCCAAATTGCATGACAAACACATGAGGTAGCAGCAACATATTCCGCTTCACAAGTGGACAATGTGACAATCGGTTGTTTCTTTGACATCCATGTGAATGCAATATCTCCCGAAAATACGAATCCGTAGTGCTCCTTCGATTATCTATGTCTCCACCCCAATCACTGTCGCTATATCCAACAAGCTTGTAATCATTAGAAAATGAATAGAACAAGCCAAAGTCAATTGTACCTTTCAGATAGCGAAGAATTCTCTTTGCGACTTTAAAATGGGTGATTGTTGGGGATTCCATGTAGCGACTAACCAATCCAACTGCGTGAAGAATATCGGGTCTCGTGCAAGTTAGATAGCGTAGACTTCCTACCAAACTTTTGAAGAATGTTGGATCTACACTTTCGCCTTCTTCATGTTTGGTCATCTTGATCCCGTATTCTGCCGGTGTGCTTATTGGCTTACAGTTCTCCATCTTGAACTTCTTCAGTATCTCCTTTGCATAGCTTTCCTGTGAATGAAAATTCCATCATTTTATTGCTTAACTTCAATGCAAGGTAGTACGCCATGAGCCCCATGTCTGTCATCTCGAATTCTTTCATCATCACATCCTTGAATTCATTAAACATGCTTGGGTTGCTTCCAGTGAAGATCAAATCGTCCACGTAGAGGCACACGATCAAATATCTTCATCTTTGATATTGATATAGAGCATGCTCGTAGGGACATTTGTTGAAGCCATTCTCTTGGGTACTTGTCGATTCGGCTATTCCATGCCCTTGGTGCTTGTTTTAGCCCGTAAAGAGCCTTCTTCAACTTCAACACCTTGTCTTCATGCCCTTTGACTTCATAGCCTGATGGTTGCTGAATGTAAAGTTCCTCTTCAAGAACTCCATTTAGGAAGGCGGACTTTACATCCATCTGTTGTATCTTCCACTTGTTTTGAGCTGCCAAAGAATGATTAGTCTGATAGTCTCCAATCGAGCAACAGGAGCAAAATCATCATAGTCAATTCCAGCCTTTGACTATAGCCTGTAGCAACTAGCCTCGCCGTGTGCCTTTCAATCTCTCCTTTGGCGTTTTGCTTTGTTTTGTACACCCATTTGACACCTATCGCCTTATGTCCCTTGGGAAGTGAGGTAAGTTCCCATGTGTCATTCTTCTCGATGGCCTTGATTTCTTCGTTCATCGCATCTCTCCATTTCTTTTCTTGTACCGCTTCTTGAAAGCTCACTGGTTCACAATCGTAAACAAACAAAATAATGTAAGATTATCTTGTCGTTCAGTTACCTCATAGAGATCTCTAAGGCTTCTTGTGCGTTGCACAACTCTTTCACTTTGACTCCCACTTGACGATGATGAAGGTGATGAGTCTCCTTGAGTGGTTGATGTTGGTGAAGTGGGTGGAGTTGCAAGCTCTTGTTGAGATTCATCTAGTTGTTCCCTCATTGTCTGCTCATCTTCTTCAAATGAGGAAAGAAATTGAAGTCATATGTATGAGAGTTAAAATCCCATTCTCCTTCTTCGTTGAAGACAACATCTCGACTAATCACAAACTTCTTATTGTCTGGATTGTACAACTTGTAGCCCTTCGAATTAGCATCATAGCCGATGAAGATAAAACTCTCGCTTTATCATCAAGCTTCGTTCTTCTCTCGTCTGGTACGTGAACATGGGCTATACTTCCAAAGGTTCTCAAGTGAGAATTCCAGGCTTTCTTCACTCCATGCTTCTTGCGGTGTCTTTCCATACACTTCTTATTGGAGATCGGTTTGTCAAGTAGATTGCACGCTACTGCCTCCGCCCAAAATTCCTTGGGTATTTCTTGCTTTGAGCATGCTTCGTGCCATGTCGAGGATTGTTCTGTTCTTTCTTTCTGCCACACCATTTTGCTGGGGGGATCTAGGAACTGTCATTGGTCGACGAATTCCATTTGCTTCACAAAACTCTTGAACTCCCTGGAAGTAAATTCTCCACCTCGATCGGATCTCATGGCTTTGATCTTTCTACCGCTTTCCTCTCCACTGCTGCTTTGAACTTCTTGAAGACTTAAAAACTCTGACTTCTGTTTCAGAAATATACCCAGGTTTTTCTTGAAAAATCATCAATGAAGAGAAGAAAATTTGTTACCGAGAGCTTGGCTTGATCGGTCCACACACATCTGGTCAGGATGATTGATGTGAGGTAGTCCTTTCACCATCTCCTTCTTAGATAATAGCTCTAGACCTCCAAAACTGAGATGCCCAAATCGAAGATGCCAAAGCCATGATGCATCTTTGTAGCAATCTTTCAGGCACTTTGCAACATCATTTTGTATGTTGATCAAGAACATTCTATTCTTTGACATCGACACTTTAGCAATGAAGTTATTCTTATCATCTTTTATAGAAAGATTATAATTATTCATATGAATATCATAACCTTTCTCTACCAGTTGCCCTAAACTTAAAATGTTACTTTTCATATTGGGCACATAGTAGACATTTGAAATAAATTGATGTCTCCTATCTTTCAAACGGATAAGAATGTTACCTCTCCCTTTCACTGCTATTGTAGAATCATCTCCAAACGAAACATTTCCGCTTACTGACTCGTCTAGCTCCACAAACATGTCTTTCCTTCCACACATGTGATTGCTTGCACCACTGTCAAGATACCAGGAATTTGCTTGGCCACCATCAGTTTCCTTTCGTGCTAGAAGAAGAGTTTCTTTGCCATTTGTCTTTTCCTCCACGTAATTAGCCTTCTCCTCAATTTTGTTGTTGGGGAGCTCTACATTCTGAAGCATAATGCCCAAAATTTTGACAATTATAACATCGAATTTGAGATTTGTCATACTTTGAGTTTGGATTAATTCTTCCACGGCCTCGTATTGAGCTTTCTCCTTTCTCATAGTTGTTGTTGGAATTGTTATTGTTGTAATTCCAGCCTCGTCCACGACCTCGACTTCCACCTCGTCCATGGCCTCTACCTCTGCCTTGGCCACGTTGGTTTCTATCATTGCGTTGGCTCTCATGCATATCCTTGAGTTGCAGCTTGAGGAGTTGCTCAGTAAACTCATGCTTTTTTTTATGCTTCTCTTCGTATGCTTGCAATGATCCTTGGAGTTGCTCGATCTTCATTTCTTCCAAGTCTTTAGTTTCTTCAATCGTCACGACGATGTGTTCAAATTTGGGATCCAACGAACGAAGTATCTTCTCTATTATCCTCACAACTTCTAACTTTTCACCATTTCTTTTTAATTGATTAGAAACAGCTACTACTCTTGAGAAATAATCTGAAATAGACTCAGATGCTTTCATGTGTAAGGATTCGAATTAACCTCTCTCTTAATGTTTGGAGACGAACCTTCTTCACTTGCTCGGATCCTTTGTAAGAGGTTTGCAGCTTCTCCCATGCTTTCTTGCTAGAGCTTGCACTTGAAATCTTTTCAAAACCATCATCATCTAATGCTTGGTAGATGAGGTAGAGAGCCTTCTTGTCTCTCTTTCTTGAATCCTTCAAAGTTGTCTTTTGATCTGGTGTAAGAGTAACAAAAACATCATCATCCATAATCTCGTTATAGCCTTTCTCTATGATATCCCACACATCTTGTGATCCAAGAAGTGCCTTCATTTTGATACTCTAATTGTCGTAGTTGTTGTTGTTAAGTGTCGGAACTTGGAATGGTGCCATACCATTTGTCATATCTCTCAATATAATGAGATTTTGTAAAATCCGATTGCACGAATGAATCCAGAACGCCGAAAAAACCTTGGGAGGGACTTGGACAACTCGGTCAAGGGCTCCAACTCGGCTGACTCGGCTCAACTCGGTGAGTCAACTCAATTTTCTGGCAACAGTCTTCCGGCGGTGCGTGGCGGTGCGTGGCGGTGCGTCAGAACTCAGATTGAGAAAATTCTGGCGGCGTCGAATTCCTCTCGTCGAGACCTTCGATCTTTCCAACTCGCTCTGATACCACTTTGTTGGAAATAAAACACTCACACACAAACAACTTTTATTGAAACTCAAACAAATATTACAAGAGTACTCTCACTCAAAAACAAGAACTACAACTCACTCTTATAAGATTTTGCTTCTTCATTCACTTAGAAGCTCTTAATTTTCTTGATGCTTAAAACTAAAATGGGAAGGGGTATTTATACTACTCAAGAACAATCCTACACCACACAAATAAACTAATTTAAACCATTACAAATTCAACAAATATCTAACTCTCACCTAACTAAATTGATGTAAGCAATGACATCATTAATTAAATGATGTAAGCAATGACATCTTTAATTAAATGATGTAAGTAATGACATCAATTTAGTTTGGGTTTAGATTTAGGCTCCCATAATAGATCAAGTTTATGATCCAACAATAGCTAGTTAAATACTTTACTTTAGCTTTCGGTGATAACCCTTTCATCTCAAATGGGGTACAAATACAAAACAACTTTACTAAGAACATATCTAAAACGTCAAATCAAGAAGATTCTACCAGTCATTAAAAGTCTTTTCACCAGTGCTAAAGTTGCTTTCCATCAAACCCCATGTCTATAAAAGGCTCTTTCAGAAACTCTGATAAGCATATAATAAAGTGGGCAACATCACGAAATTATAAGAGGCCATATAGACAGTACAAACTTAAGCAAACATGAACAAGTGAATGAACACAAGAACAAATCCTGGCAAAGTGTAAGTATGTCAAAGTTTAAGTAAACTCAATTTAATTTACGCTATATATGCTTACCAGTCTCTTTCTTATCTGTTACGTACTCCTGGGGGGACAATATCTCCAAGTAACCCGTCCTGTGGGGATGGTTCTGGCAGCGTTACAGGTTCTGTTACTACTTGCTTTGATTTTGTTATGCTTGGAGGAATTTGCCTGTGTAGTTGTATCCCTGGAGAGTGAAATTTAAAGACTGAGGGAGCCAATTGACCAGAAAAGGCGGCTTCATGGTTGATGGATCCACCACGGGGGAATCCGACTCTGTGATGACAGTGTTGACCTTCATATGTTGAAATAACAATGGTAGAATCTTCAGGGGAGCGTTCCACCCTCTTCTTCACAGTGCATTTGCTATTTGTGCAACGATAGTAGTTCCTGAAACCAGATTATGCACATCATTCTGAAAATTTTCCTTTTGGATAATGATTTTAAGCATGAAATCACATTTCAACATCCCCATTTGCTACTCCAGACAGAAACTTTCAAGTCATGAGCTTTTGGAATTAGAGAGTCCTAGCAATTGCAGATTAATTAACTGACGGAATCTCCCTTTATAACAATAGCGGTTTAATAATAAATATTTAACTTTGTTGAAGATGCATCATTTAACTGGTGAATCTTGCCCTATAACAAAGCTCAAAGAAGGAAATTCATAAATAATCTCCTGGAAAGAATGTTGATTATGATATTGAAAAGAGAATGTTGTTTATATTATATTTCACTTCAAAAGTTTAGCTATTTAACTGAAAACAGGTGAATCAAATTCAAAAGTGGGAAGCATGTCAGTTTTTCTCTGAATTACCTAGGAAATGGACTATTTTTAACAGTCTTTTGTCCATATTTCCTCCACCGGTAGCCATCTTCAAGATGATCGAATTCACTCTTGGTCTTGAATGCAAAACGTGGCTGTCGAATTCGCTTTTGCCCCTTATCCTTGACCTTACTCCTACAAAACAAAATACTCGACCGGCAACTATCAAAGTGAAACAGAAAATCCTAAACATTAAGAGATTTGTTTGAAAGTTAATGCATATGCTTCAATAAACAAACAAACATGCCACTGCTGAAGTAGATATTAATGTAGCCATCAACAATGTTAAAAAATCAATCTCTTCAATTATTCTGAGTAACACAAGCAACTTTCCTTGAACATAAAATGCATTCATATGGAAGAAAGTAATCCTTGATTTCATGAGATGCATGCCTCTGACCAGTTCCCATTTTGCAGGTAATGACAAAGAATAGATTTCAACACCTAGTAAGTATCAAACAATTAAGTACTGAATTTCCAAATTCCTAAAACAATGAAGAAAACCCATCATAGATATAACAGTAAAATTCCAAATAAAATGAGAATGCGTTGCTTCTGATGGGATGAATTCAGAACAAAAGACAGACTTCATTGGGGAAAAAGCAATGAAAAAAAATACTGTTAGGTTTAATGTCACCAAAAGAGGGCTTTTTTACCCCACTGACACCGTTTGTTTTTATTTTTACTTTTCTAACACCGTTCGACCAATATTTCCAAAACTAGCACCCTTTCTGCTGAGTTGGCAAAGGCGCGTCCCGGGGGCGCGCTTTACCCGGTTTTTTCGCTGAGTTGGATGCCACGTGTGAAAGGGCGTCCCGGGGACGCGCCTTTGCCAACTCAGCAGACACGTATTTTGTTTATAATAAATAGTTTATTTTATTATTATTATAAATTAATAATATATTATGTAAAATGTTTCGATTATAATGTAAGAATTATCAAGTTTCGAGTATTTTTGATTTTGATTATCGATCTATTAATTTTACCAGTTAATTATTTAAATGTTATCAATCTAGTCATCTCATATCAATATTTAACGAAAATATTGATGCATAAGTTAATAAATTAGTATAATTACATATTTAATCTTCAAGACTTACATATTTTATAAAATTAGTCTTATTGAAAATTAATTTAATAAATTTAATCCTCCAATCAGAACATGAAATGTGTCATTGTATACATAAATTTTTTAATAACTTTTAATTTGTTTAATTTATATTTTTCTCTACTTAGAAGGTGGAATTATTATTATATTTTAATGCAATAACATTAAATTATTGAAATAAAAACATTCATTTAAAAACTTTAATTACATAAGAGTTAACGGTTATATGATGAAACAGAGCTGGACATTTTTTTCTATTGTGCCCGATGTTTCTACAATGCCCACATCGTTTTTGTTCTGTTGACTTCTCCCGAATATCCATATCACAATGTATTCTAGTAGATTTTGGACGACCTGAGTCCCTCAATAACAATGGATCTGGGACAATTGTAAGCCAAGTTGAATCTCATTTGGGTCTCTTTCGTTTCCTATGGGCGGAAACTCAAATTCATATACCTTGAAAACTTGTGAAAGTTGGTATACGGGATCAACATAATTTTGTAGTCCAAATGCGAATGTGAGCAAGCAGCAATGACATGAGAGCATGGATATTTGAGTGCTTGAAAGAAACCACAATCGCACCACCTCTCTTGCAGATTAACTCTGAAAGAGTTAGCTTCAATCCCTTGCAGCGGACGTGGCATTTCGGTTACACGAAACAATTCACGGGTGCGAGAAAAATTTGTAACTAACATCCCATTTGATGTAGCCATTTTTTTCTGTAAATCGGTACTAGTCTTGGGTGGTAAAATGTCCGTTTTGCATCCAAGTAAGAGCTTGTCCACCGAGTTTTGCAAAGAGTTGACCCAAACGAAAATAAGTCGTTTTCGGTTACACGAAACAATTCACGGGTGCGAGAAAAATTTGTAACAACATCCCATTTGATGTAGCCATTTTTTCTGTAAATCGGCTACTAGTCTTGGGTGGTAAATATGTCCGTTTTGCATCCAAGTAAGAGCTGTCCACCGAGTTTTGCAAAGAGTTGACCCAAACGAAAATAAGTCGTTTTGACCAACGCCGTGACTGGTAAATGACGCGCCCCTTTAAGGTTGAATTATTGCTTCAGCCAAGTTTGTGTCATATGACCATAGCGAACCCCCGTCATATGCATTTGTCCACATTTCTTTGCTGATGTCCATAATGTACTCGCACCCCTTCTTATTTTTGCCAAACAGCTCTTGTAGCATCGACTCAAACCTTTGAGGTAAGAGTTCGTAACCTAAGTCATTAGGAATAGTAATAGTTAATATGAAGTATAAATAAGTAATAAGATTGATAGAAAAATTGGGAAAAAGTAACATACCCATCCGCACTACTGACGTTCATCGTCTTCTTGTATTTTCCGTAATAGTTTGCAGCAATAGACGGACACAATAACGAGGTTGAACATGTGGAGGTCTATACATTGTAAAAGACTCGGTAAAATTGGCAGCGATCGCGAACCATTCGATCATTCACGTAATGATGTTGAGTTTCGAACTCAACAATTGTCCCGGGATTAAGTTTGCACAACATGAAACCAACTGGCAGCTCGTTGTAAGAGGAATCCCATTCGCCATGAAGTTTGCAAATGGCATTCTGTTTTGCCAACCACGCTTTTTTATATGAGACAGTGTACCCAATTGGGACTGTATAGCAGAATCAACACTGCAACAGCTATGAGAGCTTTGCTTCACAATTGGCATGATTGCTTGACAAATAATGTTGGAGTCCAAGTTGGATGATCCTGGTTTATTACCTGTTGCACAGTATGAGGACTGTTGTATCTGGTTAGTTCCCATAAGTTGTTCTTCCTCTTCCTCTTTGATACACGGACCATCCATGACATCCGTTGTGACGTTGGACGCAGTAGCAGACATATTTCTCCGTGTTAGATCGATCAACTCGGGACTGAACTGAGTTACGAATATTGTAACTCTTTATTGCCATCATTGCTTCCTCCTTCGATGCGAACTCCATTCCAATATGTAAATTACCGTCATTGACTGATGATGAAGTCCATAGTTTCCAACATCAGGAAGATCTGGAAATTCAGGCTCTACATTGCATCATAATCAGCCTCATACATATGTGCAGGAAGTTCGGCTGGTGTTGTATTTATCGGAACGTCATCCTCGTCATCATCAGAATGTACGTTAAACTGTGGTGAGTCAGGTTCAACGAATAATCCCGTTTCAGCACCATCTGCACCTGGCTCCCGAAGAGGTTCTTCTGGTGGAGATGGGTTCCTCCGATAATCCAATGTTGAGGTCAAAAAAGTTCCCGCTTGCGTGTCCTCCCCTTGAACTTGAGGCCATTGTCATGTGGGATGTGATAGACTGTCGTCTCGTTGGCATTTCCATATGTAAGTCGAAAACATTGGCAGATGAATGTCTGCCCCTTGAAGTAGAAGAGATGTTGCCATATGGATTATTGGTGAAGCCACGTGGTTGAGATCATAAGCAGTTGCAGATGAATGCCTTCCTATTGAACTTGATGGCATGGTATATGGCGTTGGATCCGCCATTAATGATGTGAAATCATTACAGATAAGTTGTGTCGGCTATCAACTTGATCAGTTTGATATGCAATGCCAAAGTGAGAGGAATATGAGAGACCACGAGTTACACGAACCTCAATAAAGTGGCATACATTTCAATAAGAGATTGTGAACTCCCCATATGAGCATCACCCATCATAGAAACATCATCATCATTTGAAAGCTGAAATGATGTATACGTGAGCGAAAAAGTTCAGTAGGAAATCTGTATTGAAGTGAAGATAGTCTTCTCTGGCCTGCTACACGAATCTTTAACGAAATTTTGTGATTAACTCCTCAATTGTGATGTTTCTCTTCAAGGTTAAGGGGATATAATGATCTGACTCAAAAAAACCCCCTCTTCAGCTTCCTTAATTTCTCCATCATACAAAACAACAGCAGAAAGACGACTCATTTTCAGAGAATTTGAGAATTTAGAGTTTGGGAATTGAGAATTTGAAAGATTGTGAACTGAAGTTTGTTTTGAAAGTTTATAATACGTTGCATATAATAGTTTCTATAATCGGTTCACTATTCACGTGAAGGCGCGTTCCCGGGGGCGCGCCTTCCATTATTTCGTCAGAGAAATTATCATTGCCCTATTATGTCATTCATGTCCCTCGGGGACACTAGATATATCAGTACCTATTATTTCACTATTCACGTGAAGGCGCGTTCCCGGGGGCGCGCCTTCCATTATTTCGTCAGAGAATATTATCATTGCCCTATTATGTCACTCATGTCCCTCGGGGATCACTATTCACGTGAAGGCGCGTTCCCGGGGGCGCGCCTTCCATTATTTCGTCAGAGAATATTATCATTGCCCTATTATGTCATTCATGTCCCTCGGGACACTAGATATATCAGTACCTATTATTTCACTATTCACGTGAAGGCGCGTTCCCGGGGCGCGCCTTCCATTATTTCGTCAGAGAATATTATCATTGCCCTATTATGTCACTCATGTCCCTCGGGGAATAACTTAAATTTAACTTCTTTTGAATGTTCAACAAGTTAAGAATAACTTAAATTAAAACGTTATGTGAAGTTTGATAATTAGATAAAATGTTATTGATAAATTGAATAAATGTGAAGTGATAAGTTGATTGTGACATTGAAATTGTGGAATGAGCATTGAAATGTGACATTGATAAATTGCCAATTCACCCCCCTCTTGGTTGATTCCGTTGATCGATGAACTCAACATAAGTTGATTTTTAATGTATACGTTTTAATATATGTTAATGATAAAATCAATGTATGGAGTCCTTTAATTTCAATTTAAGTTGTGAACTATAATTGGAATATAACTTTTAATTTCGAATACAATTGGAATATAAGTTGAAATTTAATGTTAAATTTCGAATACTATAATTTATATTTTTTAAATTTAAATTGAATAATATTATTTTATTTTTATTTTAAATTTCGAATAATATTTGTATTTTAAAAACATTTATCAAACATTTAATGTTAAATGTGAAAAAAATAACATAAAAATATGTATGTAACACCATGAAACATTTAAATAACATAACCAAATTACATAAAATTCTGAAATTTAATTATTTAAATAACATTAAATATAACTGGATCACCGATGTCGTCGTCTCGAATGAGTTCCACATGGCGGTGGTTGCCTATTCGTGGAGGATTTCTTCGTGGAACTTGTTCTTCAGTCTCCTCATCTTCACTATCATCATCAGCCAGCATTTTCTTCATTTGGTGCAGATGACGCTGAAGGGGCTGAAGGGCCTGTATAAAATAACGACCCTGGGGAGTGCTAGTAACATCCCACCGCTCCCCGGGAACTGTGGAAACTGTGGAAACATTGGCATCGATGTATGTGATCCAGATGAAGATTGAGGTGTCTGCGGAGAAGCACCACCAGCCAAATAAGATGCATATGAAGCTACGCTGGATCATTAAACATAGTCGTATATGCACCCCATATGGTATAAACCCTGCGGCTAGGCATGTAACCTGGCGGGCTAGGCATGTAACCTGGCGGGCTAGGAATGTAACCCTGCGGCTCGGAATGTAACCCTGCGGAGTGGCATATAAACGGTGCGCGCCTAGGAATGTTAACCCCTCGTGCTTCCGCCGAAAGTAGAAACGGCTTCCCATTTTCATTAAACCAGTCCATATAGTTATCCGTAACCATATGACCAGTTTCAGCGTAATATTGTCGAGGGGCCAACATGTATATCGATTCTCCCAAAGCGCAATCCAATCTCTGTGTCTCACCACCCAGTTAACATCTTTCTTTCCCCGTCTATCTATGTTTATGCACGTCGTCTAAATTTCTAGGAGCTCCAGGAATATATGCGTACAACCATACTGACGGAGCACGCGATCAACTGGATGCCACTCAATATAGCATAACATATAAAGGTATAACCGATATCCATACCTCTAATGACCCTCTAAGTGGGGTGGGATGCAAGCTTTCACTTCATCGCTCGCATAAGGTATCCACTGAACTGAAATATAAATATACAATTCAAATAAATAAATATTCTAATTATATCTAACATTTTAAATTAAATTTTAATTAAACAAATTTAAAACATACCTCAGACCCACTTTGTATCAATAAGTAAATGAATTTCCTCTAAAACAGTAGGTATACTTTTATGGTCCTTTCTTTCATCGACCACCTATGAATATAATATAAACTAAATATCACCCTATTTAATTGAAAATATTTAAATCAAATTTAGTTCGAAAATTACCCAACAATAAGGGGAATACGTATGGTTCATTCACGATCGGGCATAAGAAAGGCATGCGGAACCACGCCCATGATTGTAGAAGCAGAAGACATCCACCGATAGCAGTTTTCTTATAATTCGTCGCCCGACATTTCTCTAAGAGAAATGCCAAAACTGCAGCACCCCAACTATATCTTCCAGCTTCATCAAAATCGATCAGATGCCGCAACCACATACAATGCACCTGGTTGCGAGATTTGTCGGGTATCAATATTCCTCCAATTATTCGTAATATATGCCCGAGCACATGCCTTTGCTTGATCCTCTGAAGCATTTTTCATTTAAAACCTCAAAATTAGCTTTCAACCAAGATAAAGCTATTCTACCTCCATTAACTCTGGCGGAGCAGCTCCAAGATAATCAATGCACATTGATTGCCAATCACCATCCGCCATACCACACATCATATTCCGTCGACGGGAAGCCCCAGATGCATAGAGACATCCTCCAATGTAATTGTTGCCTCCCACATGGAAGGTGAAAAGTGTGTCTCGGGCCTCCACCTCTCAATCAGTGCAGAAATTAGGACAGGTTCGAGTTTGCAACCGCCTATAATTGTTGCAATATACCCGAACCCAGCAGAAGCCAAATATGGCAAAATACGTTCCGGTGTCGGTTATACGTGGATTTTAATAAAAGTTTCTAAAATACGATCAGCATCCTAAATAATATATATTATAAAAAGTAAAAATTAATATAAATTCATAAAACTTTAAATAAAAATAAATTTAAATATTAACATTAATTATAAAAAATATACCATATCGCTAAAATGTCTGGAGATATGATCAATATCCAATCGCAACAGCATTTCGTTTCCATTATAACTGTAGACAAAACAATATAATTAGCAAAAAAATTAATAATTCTAATAAATAATAATTATATAAATATTATTTAATAAAAAAATAATATTTATAAATATATTAATATAAAAAATAATAACTATTTAAAAAAAATACTAAAAAAATTTCTTACCACTAATAACAAATTTAAACTCAAATAGTTGGAGAATTTGAGTTATATAAGAGAGGAGAAGATGATTTTGGTGTGAAGAATGAGTGAGGGTTGAGGGGTTTATATAGGGGAGGAGGAGGGGTAGTTAGGAAAAACGGATGGGGGCATTTATGACATTTAATGGAAGGCGCGTCCCCGGGGATGCGCCTTCCACACGTCTGCTGATATGGCAAGGCGCGTCCCCGGGACGCGCCTTTCACACGTGGCATCCAACTCAGCGAAAATACGGGTAAAGCGCGTCCCCGGGGACGCGCCTTTGCCAACTCAGCAGAAAGGGTACTAGTTTTGGAAATATTGGTCGAACGGTGTTAGAAAAGTAAAAATAAAAATAAACGGTGTCAGTGGGGTAAAAAAGCCCCAAAAGAGGGCTTTTTTGATCTGTATTCACGCTTATTGCCTTTGTATTAACGTAACTAAAACGTGAAAATAAGAGCCGAAAGGGTTAATAAATAAGTATAAAAAAGGGATTTTTTTTGGAAGCACACCATTCCCGCCGCAATAGCGGCGGAGTTCATGGCCACTTCGTTTGTAAATAGCCAAAAAGTCCCTTTTATTTTTCACCTTTATTCCCTTAATTACACCTATTAATTCACTAAATTTACGAAATAACCATAACCTTAGCCTCCCCAACTTGAATGAAACAAAGTCCACTTCTTTTTTGACAGTTACTGAGTGTACGGACACCGAAGATTGCACTCATTTTTTCTCTCTTTCTTCATGGCTTTTATTTTACATTTGTATTTATTACGATCAGACCCCAAAATAACTCAAACAAGGAGAAAGCAAAAGAGTAAAAACAATAAGGGGCATTTCTTTCCAATTTTTTTTCCTATCTTCATCAGTGATGATGGATATTTGTTCACTACTCACGGTATCTCGGACGGCTTCCCGCCGGAGCCCGTAGATTTCTCCGTCCGATCCTCGCTGGAGCTTGACGACACCAATGGATTCGATATCAACACGTCAACTGACCCGCCGGGATTCGACGACGTCACTGAACCCGAACCATAAGCAGCAATAGCGCCAGCGAAGCTCTCTGAAACGTTGAAGGTTCTCACCAAATCAGGTCTGGTGTCGGTCCGTTCAAGTTCATCGAACCGCTCAATCACTTCAGTATGATCAGCAGGTTGTAGATTCCACTCGAAGTCGCTCAATATATTGCTCTCCCTATCGAAGAAGTAATTGACGGTGTCGGAGAGTGAGTCAGGGAGTGTCCAGCTCGAACAGTAAGTAAATTCACTCAGTGGATCGCCTCCTTCTTGATCTTCCATCCTCTTAAACAGAAGGAAAAATCATAAAGAAGGATTCAGAGCATCCAAACAGAATCTAAAAGGATAATTGAAGGATAGAGAGCTAGCTAGCTAGGGTTTGGATGTCTGCTGGGAAGGGACGCCTAGTTTTCCATTTGCTTTTAGTTTGGGGGTCGCGTCAATCCAAATCTAAAGCGCAGAGAAAGTTAAGAAGGAAGGGAAAACCGAAAAGAACGCGCGAGTAGAGGAATAGTGGCACACTGGCGTTGGAAGGGCAAGGCAGAGAAAGAAAGGGGTCGTGACACCCACGCGCATGAACGGAAAATAGCGGGACACTTGGATAATTTCCGATTTAATCTCGTAAGAGCAACACGTTAATTAACGGGGGTTTTGAATCGGATAATTTCATTTTTAACAAGATTTCGTAATTATGTAGGATTAATATTTGTTTTTATTTTTCATGTTGAGTTCAAGTTTTCCTTCTAACAATATAATCTTTAAATTTTAAAATATAATATATTTTATCATTACATCACTAAAAAAATATTCATTTTAAATTGATGATTTAATCTTTAATATATTATTAAATTTTAATAATATAAATAATGGCATAATAATTAAATTTTTTAGGGGCAATATCCAATTTGTGTTTGGTATATGTAAAGCCCAAACCTCAAATTAACTCAATTAAATAACCAAAACCTATGACCCATAAGTTTACCCAATTACAACCTCTAGCCCAACTAAATACTCTTCTATGTCGGGGGAGGGGCTATAATATTTAAAAATATATATTTTTTCAACTATCGATGGTGTACAAAGAAGAAGAAGCCCTATACATTCAGTAATGTGATTCTAACACAAAAGTTAATTACCATTTGTTTCTTGGACTATTATGTTTTAATTTCCGTCAAGAAAAATTCTACAGTGCTCATAAATTAATTTATAAAACATTAAACTATAAATTAGTTAAAAATCTAAATATAATTTAATCAGAATACATTATTTATAATAGAGAAAATAACCTCAGTGACCAAAAATGTCTTATAATATACGATTTTAACCAATTTTTTTTGGATTTGCCAAAATAACCAACTAAATCGCAATGCGATCGATAATTCGCAACACGATCTCCGGTATCGCAAATCAGTTTCCAGATTCGCAACGCGATTCTGACTATCGCATTGCGATTTTCCTAATTCGCAATGCGAATACGTAAATCGCAATGCGAATACGTAAATCACAACGCGAATCTGACTATCACAACGAGATTCTGACTATCGCAACGAGATTCTGACTATCGCAATACTGAATTTCAAATTCGCAACTCGATTTCTGAATTCACAACAGGTTTTAGTTTCGCAACACAAATGTTTTGGGTATATAACTACGCAACAACAACAACTCATAACCTAAATCCCTAAATCGCAACTCATTTCATCTCCATCTATCACTCTCTCCGGCGACATCCGTTCCTATATCCAATGACATCCTTCCCCATCCGGCAACAAGTTTTAGTTTCGCAGCCCGTTTGTTTAGAAAATTAATTTACAATAATGAAATCATCTAATGTTGATCATGTTTGGATAGATTTGTGTTTTGGAGGGTCATGGGAGAATGTTCATGGTGTTTTACAATATATGCCTTTACCCATGAATCTTCAACTAAAACTGTCATTAAAAAAGTTAACTTATGAAACTTTAATATTACGTGTTGCAAATAAATTGAATTTAGAGCCCCTAAGTGGATTTAGGCTATCTTATCAGAGAAATGATAAAGTTTATTTGTTAACCGACAATGAAAATGTTGAACGATTCATTGCTTACATTAGTGTTTCAAGTGATGATGTTACATTGTATGTTGTTGAACCTAGAAGTAGTGAAGTTGGGTCAGTAGCGGGTAGTAATCAACTAAGTTTTTCAACCCCAGTTTATGGTGCTCAAAATTTAATAGTTCCACCACAATTTCATCACCAAGCAAATATTGTTTCACCACATTTCCAATACCAAACACAATCTCAAAAACCACAACCTTTCCCTAATCCAAATCCCAATCAACTTTCAGCACCAAATTTCGGTTTTCGTATTGACCAGTTAGACGATGATGAGCCAACAGAAAAAATTGTAAGTACTAGTCAGTATTCGAAATTTGATCTTGGTCAATACCCAGACTTTGATCTTGGTCAATACTCGGATTTTGATGATTTTTCAGAAGAAGAAACAAACCCTGTGTGTAATGATTTTGATATTGGTCAATACCAGAATTTTGATGATGAAACAGCCGTTGCCGAGGAAGATGTTGTTGATGATAATGAGGAGGAAGTTACGACTGTAAATGAACATGTTGAACATCCATTATGTAATTCATATAACCCTGAAGAAGAAAAAGAAGAAGAAGAAATCCCCAAAGAGAAGTCCCCGAAGAAAATGCCACGGGAGTATAACTGGAATATGCCAGAATTACTTCAGATACCGGAAGAAGAGTTGGTAAAGATAGCAGTTGATTGTTACACAAAAATTATTCGTATCAAGAAAGATGATTATTTTGATACAAAGGAAGACTTGAAGATAGCTTTGTATACGAAATGTGTGGAAGATGGCTATCAACTAAAAGTTAACAAATCAAGCAAAGATCGTTTCGAAACAAGGTGTATGATTGACAAAAACTGTACGTGACGTATGATTGCAAAGAGGATAAAAGATTGAGAAATGTTTCAAGTTAGGACTTTTATTGATAAACATACATGTTCAAGAACCCAAGTTTTTCCTCACCATAGACAGGCAAACAAAAAGGTGTTGGGTGGTTTTCTGGCTGAGTTAATGTTTTTGAATGGCAGGGTATATCGGGGACATGAAATTATGACTGACATGAATGCTCGGTTCAAGATTAATATCTCATATTCTCAAGCTTGGAGAGCCAAATGTTATGCCTTGGAATTGTTGAGGGGGTCGCCAGAAGCATCGTTTGCCCAACTGCCGGCTTATTGCCACAATTTAAAGCTGAAAAATCCTGGGTCGGTAACTCATATCAAAACAGATAGAGATGGACGCTTTTAGTTGCTGTTTATCGCCATTGGTGCTGCGGTTAGTAAATCAATATAATTTTGTTGACTCATTTTTGTTAGTTACATGCATTTCACATTTAATGATTATATTTCTTGTGTATATGATTTTGTAGATTCGTTCGTTTATTACTTGTATGCTCTCAGTTATTATAGTTGACGGAGCACATTTAAAAGGTCGATACCTTGGAGTAAACTTATTAGCAGTAGCCATGAATGCTAATAATGGGATACTGCCAATAGCTTACGGGGTTGGCAAATTTGAAACCTCTGATTCATGGACATGGTTTATGGGGCATCTTAGGGATTGCATATGTCCTATTAGCAATCTGAAAATCATATCCGATAGGGAAAACTCAATTGACAACGCTCTTAGAAGGTGTTTCCCAGATGCTTTTCATGGACTTTGTAGTGGTTCATTTGTATAGAAATCTAAAATCAAGGTCTGCTGGTATAAAAAATTACAAATGGAAATACTGGAAGGCTGTAAAAGCTTATCGGGAAGTGGATTTTAATAAGCATATAAACTGTTTAAGACGTGTTTTGCCTCAGTGTGCTCAAACACTAGAAGATGTCGGGTTTGAAAGATGGTCAAGAGTACATCAACTTGGAGCAAGATATGGTTTCATGACGTCTAATAGTGCAGAATCAATCAACGCTCTAAGTCGTCATTCCCGGAAATTACCTATTAATATGTTGATGGAGTTTTTTCGAGCCTCTATTCAACAGTGGTACTACAAGAAAAGAAACCATGCAGGTATTATTTCTTTAAATTCGTAACTTATCATATATTTTACTAAGTATTATTTATTTAAATTTACTGGAACATTGGAACATCGTGTTACACCATGGACTGAAAAAAAGATAACGAAACGTGTTGTGAAGTCAACGTCATGGAGAGTTGAACCATGTTCAAACACTTTGTTTGAAGTACTGGATAATAACTTAAATGGGCTTGTCGATCTAAATGCAAAGACGTGTAGTTGTATGAAATGACAAACATCTGGTTATCCATGTGGCCATGTTATAAAAGTTGCTCTTCATCTAAACCAAGATGATTCAAGCGCATACGCTATGGATTGCTACACTACAGAAGTATATCGACATACTTATGTCGAGATTGTCTACCCTATTCCACATCATTCTGAGTGGGACATACCATATGACTTACAAACAGTTTTGCCACCAGCCATGGACAGAAGGCTACCTGGCCGACCAAAAACTCACGATCGTATACCGTCTAAGGGGTGAAGAGAAGAAGAGATCGACATGTAGTCGGTGCAAGGAAAGTGGTCATACAAGGTTGACATGTGGATCACTAGTGCCATCACAATCATCTTTTCCTCTACCAAAATATGGATCTTCATCAAAATCCCAATCACAACCGGCTTCACCTTTTAGGACTGTTAACTTAGGTGATTTTTAAATGCAAACATTGTATTATGTGTATTTTATGTGTGAACTTTTAACATTTTCAGTTAGACATGTATTAGTAACTTGAGTTTGAACATTGCTATGATATGTTCAGTTGTTATCACTTATTAGACATTCATTTGACTATCGCAACGCGGAAATCGCAACACGAATATGACTATCGCAACACGAAAATGACTATCGCAACGTGGAATTGACTATCGCAATGCGAAATTGACTATCGCAATGCAGAAATGAGTATCGCAACGAGAGAATCGCAATGCGAAATGAAAATCGCAACGAGAGAATCGCAATGCGAAAATGAAAATCGCAACGCGAATTTAGTTTCACGTTGCGATTTTCATTTTCGCATTGCGATTCTCTCGTTGCGATTTTCATTTCGCATTGTGATTCTCTCGTTGCGATAGTCATTTCCGCGTTGCGATAGTCTGTTTTGCATTCAACATAATGCAGATTGAAATCAACAAATCAACTATTACATTTCAATCAATTAAACAAGCACAAATAATAATTACGTACACATCAATTAAACAAATCAACATTTAAAAATCATCTTTTACAAATCAATTAAACAATCAAAAAATAATAATAAGAATTATTTCCTCATCAATTATTGAATCAACTTTTGCACCCATACATCCATTTCACGCAGCTCACTTCAGGATTAACC